GTTCTAGATGGAAATTTTTCGTATCGTTCAGCATTTATAATTTCTGCACACTCGGTTTTCTTATAAATGCGCCAAATCCGCAGTTCGTATAATGATTTATTTAATCATGATGAAACGAGGAAACGAGTCCAGCTACTTTGCATCGAGAGGCGCAATAAAACGAGTAACATAGTTTAAAATCGCGGCACGCGTCTCGGGGCAATTCAGAAAGGTTCGCCCGTTAAACTTGGCAACATAAAGCAAAAGTTTTCTACGTTCAACGAATCGCCATCGCCACTCGGAGGATAATTTTCTTTCGCTAACAAAAGAACCGACGGCGCGTACGCTGACGAAGTTCCTCCCGTCGTCTCGGGGCTATTTGTTAGCCGGTGAATTCGTGACGGAACTTGTTTTCGTTCCGCGAAACTAATTATCCTATTAAGGAAACGTCGGTAACGTCTCAATTTCTCGGGAGGCTCGAATACCAATTAGAGTCAGGAAAGGGGAACGATTGCTTTTTGGGTTGCGCCGAGCAGCGTGCCTGGCGAAGTTAGATCGCGCCTCGCCTGTTCTCTCGTTCCTCTTAAAGAAAATAATTATAAGGATGTAAGCGTTCTGTTTTAATTAAGCAAAACGAACAGGGAGCTGTTGCATATTCGTGACGCATATGTGTGTGTTATTGTACAGAGGATAAGAGGGGCGGCGTCGACCGGAGCTGCACGGTCATTGCTAAAGAACCCGAAGGTAAACCTTGCATATCGAAGGCTGAGAAACGTGTGCATAAAACATACGTTTCGACGTCTTCTTCTCATTCATGTGTACTTATATATTATAATGTACCTACGTATAAATCTAAATTCCACGTGTCCTCCGACTTCAGATTTGGCTTCTCCCGTTCGGGTCATTTCTACTTACCACGACATAAAAAATATTGGCAAAATTCATCTGTTGCGCAATGAACTATCGAAAACAGTTGACTAATAATAATCGATCCATTTTATGGATCCCCTCTCGCCTCTTTCGACATGAGCACGATTTTTTTTCAAATCATTACTCACTCGATCACTGTGTATAATAAACGCACTGGAACTAATAAGATTTGATCAATGTCTTTGCACTTTGGTAACGAATGAAGACGAAGTTTCGCCCCCTTGATTTCTCAGCGAGATGGGATCGATCACGAATCGGAGAAGCCACACGGGGGGAGCTCAGTGACGAGCTTCGAACCGAGCTTTTGCACCCCTGTCTGTTCCAGCTTCCGCTAACTCGTACTTCGGATTTACCGTCTCTCCAGCCTCCTCTCGTTCCGCCAACTAATCAAAGGACGTTGCGTGCGTTTAACCTTTGCCCCACTGATATTAACCGGTATATGCAGCTTAATCGTAACCCCAGGGATGAAAAAACACGTCCCCTCCCCATCATTCTGCACGATGATAACCCGTAGCCGCGTTCGCGCGTGTTTCCTGTTATTCTTGGTGTTTTAAAACAGTATATTCGACGGGGTGTTAATTTGAATGTCAATCGTAATATCGGAGGGGAAGGTCAGTCCTTTTTATTCGGGGGAGTGACGAATGATTTAATCGAGAGTGAATTTTAATGGTAGCAGCGTCGGAGCACGTGAAACGCGCGAGATTCTCGTACCGTTCTGATCCCCTGTTTTTGCAATCCCGGCGTGTGTGTAAATCCGCGCCGGATTTAGAATCGTATCTGTCGGCAACCGGAAGAACCGACGAGAAATTAGCGTTCGAGGACGTCCGTGTCTAGGATCTACTGCCTCAGGCGAGTAGCAACAGTTAATAGAAAATCCCGGGACACGCTTAAATTGTATCTATACTTAAGTGAAGTTTCACCGTGACGCTATGTGTACCGTTTAGACAGTTGTTCTTAGACAGTTTGTTGTTCCGTAGGATTTGTTGTTCTTGCGCTATCGTCTAGGAAAGCGAATACATATATACTATATTATAATGTTACCAACGAGCAGCTAGCTGTTTTCTTTTCTTGGAGACAAGCATAGTATCTGGGCAGCTGAATTTTGTTTACAAATTTCTCGTTTCAACGATATTTCGGCTGATTTTTAATCAGAATACATTATATACTATATTATAATGTTACCAACGAGCAGCTAGCTGTTTTCTTTTCTTGGAGACAAGCATAGTATCTGGGCAGCTGAATTTTGTTTACAAATTTTCTCGTTTCAACGATATTTCGGCTGATTTTTAATCAGAATACATTTATTTGTTTAAAAAATATCTCCTTTCATTTTGGCATTGATATTCAATAACTAAAATATTTATATTCAATTTAATAAAAATGTATAAAATATATGGTCAGTGATTAAAACGCGAAATAAAAATCATTTTTCATCTGGATTACTTCGCACAATTCAGGTATTATTTGAATTTTAATATTTTGTTGAATTATCACATTCCCATGAGGTTTCATATTTAGTTTCGTGCAAAATATCTCTGATACGAGAGATTTAAACGAAATGCTGCACAGATACTATGTAACAGACCCTATCTTTTTTTTTTAATCAATACGGAGTAATTAGAGTTGTCCCCGATTGGAGACGAAGAGCCACGTGGAAGAAACAAGTCTCGTGGCAACCTCGGACGATAAGTAATCAAGTACACGTAAGCTTTAGCGAGCCTTAGCTGCCTCTTTGAACCCATAGTTTGAATTGTTGTCTCGAGTTGCTTAGTCGTTTAACCGTGAACGTAGCGGAACTCATCGTAGCTCACCCATACGCGAATCGTGCACTAGTTCTCATTCTTCTGCGAATGAATATCTTGATCATCGATTAGACTCGCAGAAATCGTTAGAGCTCACGCCGTGAAGCACATTGAGTTCTCGTAGCCGTTAGCTAGGCACAGACAGATGTTAAGTGCAACTGTGGTTATTATAGAAGGATCTCCAACGAAGGCTGGACACGACGAAACGAAAGGAAATCTACTATTAATTTCTAATCTACCCTCGACAGTCACGTCTCACGAATTTTGGTGAATTAAAGAATTTTCAATATTTCTCTCTTATATTCCTTACAGTCTTTCATACATTAAACATAAAATAACAATGTCAAGGTTTTTGGTAAGAAGAATTCAGGATGAATTTTTAAAATATTAGTTATAATTATTTGCGACAGAATTTTTGCTGAGACGTGAATGAGGCTAGGTGATCGTTAAGGGTTAATCCGGACCTGATTCGCAGGTGGAATGAGGGAAATTAGGTCCAAGCGTGTGGCTCACTGTCAACGAATATACCTGGCCGCTTGGCACCGCTCGAAAATAGATTGGCACTGGTTCGCGTCGTTCGTTCGGCCATCCTCTCGAAGCCGGCCGTGCGAGGCGCAATAAAACGTTGGTCGATCTTCGATTTTCCTCCCTTTCACGCGTAGAGGAGAAGCCTCAGCTCGCGAGAGTCGTTCGTTGCGATTTTTCTCAATTAGAAAGGCTCCGCGTCGAGACCCGCGGGGCAAAGTGCACAGTGATAGTGATAAATGCGTTTGCGAAGGGAATAACAGAGCGAAAAGTCTTGGAGATGTCGGCTACCGCCGGCTTGCCCGGTTCATCGAAGCAGCCTGACAATTATGGTGAGCCGTGGCCACGTTCCGCGCCAGGGGTACACAGTTTTGTTCCAAAAGGACAAGCTTATGTTCGTTCAAACGTGTTTGAAGAGTGTGAATCGTTCCTCTTATTCAGAAATGTCGCAGAAGATTTTCGAATACCATCAGTGCATAGGGGATGAACGAAACGTGTAAATCATTCTTATTATTCGGAAAATTCATAAGGAAATTTGAGAAGACATTTTCAAATAGCATCGTTGCTTCATTAAGCGTTTCGTAATTCAAAAGACCAGCGAATGATTCATCTTCGAAATATGCAAGTCGTTCTTCTTTTTCTTTAATCAATTTTAGAAGATAAATATTTTCGAATATTAATTATGAGTGTTTTATAATTGATAAGATCGTATAATGAATCATCGTATTTGGCTACTGAGATCGTTGGCAGCGATACTGTCGAGAATGTTGATCGAAATCGACGTTTACTCGTGGGATGATTAACGAAGGCGTCCCACGCGAAACGAACTTCCGGCCCGGCTACGGATCGGGCGTGTAAGTCAGGTCACGATCGCCAGCCAGCCTTTCGGTTCTATTTTCAGTCTCGGAACCGTGTCTATGTCGGAGAGGAATCTATCTATTCTCGTTTCTAGTTTAGCAAAGGTCGCTGCTGCGCCACGCCGCGCCGCGCCGGTAGCCAGTAGCCAGACGAACGCTTTTTCCGTGTCACACACGCGTGCCGTTGCACGCTGTCCACGCAGATGAGGTTGAAACGAAAGGCGACGGAGTTCGTCTCGTCCAAACGTATTTGTCTAATTTCCTTCGAGATCGTAGATTCGTTTCAGATTTCTTGATTTATCCCCTGAACTAAAATCGTGGAACCAGTGCTGTGATTCGTAAATCTTCAGTTTTTGAACCATACTCATTGAGGATATTTGAAAATGATTGCAAGAATGACGTATAATAGAGCCAATTAATTTTACTCCCAAATAATGACTCTAATTCTTCTAAAACTTAACAAGACTTCTACGAAACCTTCGAAACTCCTGGCGCCAACGACTCGCCCCGTCTTCTTCTAACCAACTCCGATCTCTAACTCGTTTGGGCTTCTATTTTAACGCTGAGTGCAGTCAGAAAAACGTCGCCTGCCGTGAGATATGACTAATTTAGAATGTCGTCCTCTAGTCCGATGGACCCGATTGCGACACGGTGTCTAGCTGAATGCTGAATCTGTTTTTCTGTGAAACGTCTCCGTCGTGTTTGAACACGTGCCGTTCGTTCGTGTACCCGCTTTAATCAAGGCGAAAACTATTCTAATCGGTGGAATATTCGAAATCTTCGACCGAAGGCCCGGCCTCTCAGGGCACACCTCCGAACAGTCCCGGCGCCGTGTCCGCGTTCTCCAGACTCGTGGGTGCGGCGAGCCAGACGAACAAGCAACCCCAGAACCAGGTTCAGGGAAACCCGCTTGGATTAGCCGCGGTACTCCTACAGGGAGCACAAGGTAAATCGGGTGGTGAGAGTGAATCGAGGCGAGAGCACGGTAGACACACCTTTCGATACGTACTTCAACGTCAGCAACTTATTCAAACGTACACTCGATTCGCTGAATTCTGCATCGACGTACATAATAATGAAGCACTGATTAACGTTTCGAAAACGACGTAGTTCTAATAATTAGTGCAGAATTTATGACTAATTGGCACGAATTTCTTCTACCGTTCTTTCGTCTCCCGGTGGAGCAGTTTTTGTCACTTCCGCCTACGCCAGCGTCGATTTTTAAATTTCATCGTTCACAGGATGAAACACAAATACAAAGACAGGAACTCGACATCAATTTGTCCAAACTTTTATCAGATTCCGTAGGAAGTTTCTGCCAAGTTAAATAATTGGAAACTGGATAATACTTGAACTTTTAATAAGAAAACGGTTAATTTCTACGAAGCCTGTCCAATTGAAAATCGTTCAAAAGTCGTGGAAATTCTCAAACGAAGGGAATCGAGATAAGTGAGACGAACGTGAAACATGATATATTGTTAAACGATATCTCTCGTAATTATTCTCCTTCGAATGTCAGGATATAATAATAATTCTGTAAACTAAGTTCCTTAACGAACCCAGCCAGTCTATACGATTTCAAGGAAGCCCTAACGAATTGGTAAGATTCCGTTTCTGCGTCTCGAGTAGAGAACTCCCATCCGTCATACTAGAAGAATCGAATTTATCAACAGCAATTAAAAATCTTAAATCGATGCGAAAAGTAATTGCCGTTTTGCAATTCCTTTTGCGCCAGTGTAACAGAAATAGAAAAAGTGCTTCGGGTATCGATCAGATTCATTTAAACCGAGTTCACGCTCGTGAACACACGTCGAACACGAAGACAGAAGAGCCGAATCGGTGAGTCGTAGCATGACTTCGATTTGTTCCTCCTACAATTTTTTACCTCTCTCGCGCACACGTATATTAATTGGGATAACGAACACACGAGCCGCCACGCTTCGCGGCCCTTAGACCTATTCATACCCCTCGATGATGCCTTGCTCTTCCCCATTATTCATGTTCATTTATCAAACGATGTTCACACGACTCGATAACAATTGACGCACGCGATCTTCCCCATTTTCTCTGCAAAATTCTGAGAAAACCAGCTTCGCCTTTTCATTCGGATCTCGTCACGCTGCACCTAGTAGTGTCTAATCTAGCCGAAACTGGTTTCACGAGCTTCCTCACGACGCCTTACATCTTATTCGCTTTCGATACCCTTCTTCTCACATCTTCTTTTCCCCCTGTTTTATATTTTCTCATTCTCTCACAACGAATCGTTGCACTCTCGTGGAACCTCGACTATTTCACATTTTATTTACGTAACTTATTAACCAGAATGTTTCTCTGCCAAGAATTTTTCTATTTTATTTCATATCGATAGAGTGTCGCTTTTCTATCAAAACGCCGATTGTTTTTATTTCGCACGTTCCTCGCGTTGAGAGAATCATGCGACACGAGAGTGAAACGAGATCGGAGCATATGACGGCGACCGGAAGCTACTCTACTAAACGGAGGAAGGGCTGTACGGAGGCTGACAGTAGCGCGTGTTTTTGGTTGGTTGGTTGCATGACTAGCTGGCAGCGCAGGGAGCGGTAGCAGCAGTGGTAGCAGCAGCAACAGCCAGAACAGCCAGGCCGGCGCTTCGCCGTTATCCCCGGCGACCGTCTACCTCGGTACCAACCATACGCCCACGGCCCCGGCATCGCGACGCTACGACTCATCGAGTAACGGTCTGTATTCTTAAAACCTCTAATCAAGCCTTTCTCCTCTGGTATGCATACCACCACGACCCTTCTTTCCTGAATTTCTCATTCGTCTGCTTCCCGTCCTCGGAAGTATTTTAATCGACATATCGTGAGTTCCTATCGGAATTGTTCGTGATTTGTCGTCCGCACTCTTTGAATTTCTTACATTTTTCCAATTATTACAGTATTTTATACTCGTCGGAGTATTTATGAACGGGGGTGTACAGTAAATTTTTGGCCACGCGAAACGGGATTACTTTTAGAGTGGAAATTTGATCAGAGACAATGAATTCGAAAAATTTGAAAGTGGAATCGAATTCCGGTGGGGTAGAATCGCGGACGAGCGAAACGAATCGCCAATAATGGGTTTCATTGTGCGGCGAGGAGTACGTCCCGCGTTGTGCGGCTCTTGATTGATTCCCATAATAGCCAAAATGCATTTATCGCGACGAGGTTCGCCCGTAAATCAGCTTCCCATTTCGCAAATGGAAGACACTTTTACGTAGCATTGCTCGCGTCCGCGATTCCATCTATTATATATTCCCGCGAACTCGATATTTCGATAACGCCGCGGTGAGGTAATCTCCTCGTGGAAGTTGCTTAGAATATTAAACTTTCTCGAGAATTGGATCAGCCTCTGGAGATCCGAGTTGGCCAAAATTCGTTTCGTTTCAAGAAGATCATTTATTATCGGTATTCTCGAATTATATTCCAAGTAACTATTATAAAGGTGTACTGTAAATTTTGATTAGTTCATTCATTGAGCTCAAAATATCCAGTATACGTTTATTAGTATAGATAAATTATTAGATGTTCAAATTAATTCGTACCTCTTTTGTAATGAATTACAAGTTTATCTGTACATCTGATATTTTTAATATTACGAGGAATCACCAAGAAACGTCTGTTTTCAACATAGTTTTCACTCCTTTTCCCTTTGCACGAGTTTCTCTCGATGTTATAGCCAGAGGGGAAAGCAACGTTAATCGGTCCTTTTGATTTATGCGATGATCTCGTCTTTCCCCGTGTGTTTTTTCTGCATGCTGTCTGCACGCACCGCTCTGGCATGCCGGCTCGATCGCATGCTCGAAACCGATAATCTGCGACTGAAAATGAAATGTCAGAAGCAGTGGAAGTTCGACGGGTGGCCGGCACCACCGGATACGTCCCGCTCGCTCAGACCGAATCCCCGGACCACGAAGACGGTAAGCGGAGCAATCCTGGTAAGGGTCAAGAGAAAAAAACGATCGACGAGGACGCCTGCTCGAAGCTTAGCCGGTGTTGCTTGTTATCGTGAACTTGCGGGCCTCGCGACCAACTTTTTATCCTACAGTCGAGTTATGTCGCTCCTTCAACCTCTGCTCTTCAAATCCGAAGAGTCTTCTCCTTAAAATTTCAATTTCGTCGGTGAGAAAACACATTTTAGGCTTCTCGAGGCTCGTACGACGTCGCCGACGCATGTCTTTTTCCCTTTGGAAACTGTTCCTTCTTTTCGGGTGTCCTCGCTGTTTCTGGATGCCTAAAACCCATCCATTTGTGATCTCGATGACCCGTGACACGCAACAATTAACAAGTTTGATAATTACATTGCGTTTGTTATACAAAACCAATTAGAATATTAAAAGTTATAAATTTTTTAAAATTGATACCACATTTTGCTTTTTACAAAAATCCACAATTTATGAATGACAATCTATATGAATCGTGTTACGGGTCTCGTCACACGATTTATTTCGACTGGAAGTAGTAAGTATCGATTTTGGTCAGACGAGGAGCCCATCGATCGGAAACAGCAACAGGAAAGAATATCCCGTTACACGACTGAAATATTCATAAAGAAACGAGTGGTGTTTCGATAGGCGGAGGATGCATCGAGATTTGTTTCCCTTGTGTTCGTCCCGCATTAATGTATCGCAAATTTTAGTACTAGCAAACGCTCTGAAAATATCGTCCCGATAACATATTTCAAACACGTCGTACCTGAATACTTTGATCGCTCAACAGTATTCTCTACCTCAATTTACAACTGTTTAAATAATAACGTAGGATATGTTAGATAGGACGTTTCCTAAACTGACACAACAATAGTTTCATTTCGCATAAAAATCCGCAGACTGATTAATAGTGAATAATTTAGTTAAGAGTCTAGAGAACCGAAGCACAGATGAGACGATCGAGACGATATTTTACGTGCGTAGGAAATATCGATTAGGCTGTCGCCCACGCTGCAAGATCCACGTGTAATCCATGTGTAGGCGCAGAACTGTGAACGTACTTGTACCAATAAACTTTGTAAAACCCGATACATACGTTGTGTTGTATGAAGAACGAGACAAATCGTCGGACAGGCTTCGTAGTTAATTACATTATACTTAAAGCTAGTCTGCTGGTAGAGGAACGATTCTTCCTTTCTACGTATATTTTTTTTAAATGATCATTTTGGTGAGCAGCACTTTCTGACGGAACTATTTAATGAATATTTCGCAGATATGTCTGAGCTTCTACTCTTTTGTCGAACGCTTCTCTCGTCGAGCGCATATAATATCGTCCTCGACGACGCTTTAACGAGCTGCGTATCTCATTGTGCGTATCTTCGTTCATAGTCTCGCTGCCTTCGTTCATTGCGTCCCATTTCTCGTTTTCTGCGTTCTTAACAGGATTCGATCTGTAGAGTGAACATTATTCGTTGATCCGACTATGAGAAACGTGAGATACGGGCGAAGCGTATAAGAGAAGGGCGTGTCTGACTACGCGCGGTGCAATACTACTTACGACGTTTCTCGCTCTGTTTAGCCGAGGCAGTGAACATTGTCCTATTGTGCGATTATTATAAGTTACCGAGCTACGTGTATAAAACGGAGCGCATCGATCGTCCTCGCAATGGGGCTAAAAGTCGCGGAGGACTCTTTGGATAAAAATTGTCCGGAGGTAAAAGGCAACGTCGCGTCCGTGAAACACGGTGCCCCGGAGTTTAACGCGGGATCAAAGGGAAACTTAAAAGGAACGAGGAGAGTCCGAATGGTTGACAGAAAAAGGAAGAGGGAAAAGTCTTCCGAGGACGAGATGGGACCTGTGGAGACGGTTAATCTCTCTCTTGCGCGAGGATTAAGCTCCGCGACGACGTTTCGACGAACGAGAATAAAAAAAAAAAAAAGAACGGAGAAAAGTAAAAAGAGAAAATTGTCGCTTCCGCTATCTGCCTCGAAGAAGTCGCTAGAGAGAAACCATGAGATATTCGACTAAAGTCTCGAGAACGACCGGCCGAACGTTCCTCTAGGATAGATCGACGATACCGGAAGTGCAGTTTCTGCGGACCTTAATCTTCCGCGGAATTCACGCTTCGGTCACGCACACGCTGAAAAATCCCGCTGCCGATTAATTAAAAGAAAAAAAATATAAGAACGCACACGCGAGTTTAAGAAAAGAAAGATGAGGGTATCTTTATATAAACATGTGTATGTATATATTATATATATATATTGCTTGTAGAAATAAGAATCGTGTGTCCTATCAACACCTGCATCCAGATCACGACGAACTCCCAGTGTTCAGGTAACGGAAGAACTATTTCACTCTCTCACTTTAACAAACAAAAAAAAAAAAGAAAACTCTTTTCTCTTATCTTATCTGTCTTATCTATCTATCTATCTCTCTGTCGAGCAGATCGACGATCGGATAAATAGTGAAAACGATCAGGGACGCGTAGTGTCTCACAGTTTTACTATGCGTAACGATTTGTATCATACATTCTCGCTGTCTCGCTCGCTCTGGTGTGCGCAGTAGGGTAGTTTACGGCACTGTGATTACAACGTTATCTTATTATGCTGACGGTGGTGGTCGCCGGGCTAAATTCAGAATCCGTCTGCTTTTCCTTATCGTACTAAATAAATTTCAACACGATGCCACGAATCATTGGTACATTTATTTATCAATTTTTTATACCATCCGATAAAATTGATCAACGTCGGACTGAGAATCGTGGCCTTCTTCATAATTGCGAGAAATTCCAAAATTTGTAAGCAGTTACGTTGTTTTATTATTTTGTTTCATAGTTCGTTACATAGTTCATTCACTAAACTTTGTTATAAATTATTTTTAATATAACGAAGAACTGTTCGATTAAGGAAGTTTGAATTTGTGCATTTTTAACAAGGCTACGATTCTCAGTCCTTGACTGTATAGTTAATAAATTGGAACCGCGCGATGTTCTCGCGCATTTGAAAAATTGTTCCGTGGGCGGGTGGAAGAGAAACCAGGAGTATGGATGATAAGTGTACCCAGTGGGACTTCTTCGATCAGGAGACGAAGGAACAATTCGGCGGATCCAAGAAGCTTCTTGCGATCGTGAACGACGTTCTAGCGTCTCTATTTCCTCGACTTGGTTTTTCTCGTCGCCCAGGGCGACCGACGAGCTTTTTTCGTTCTTCGCGTTACGGTCGCTCGAAATCGATCGGAAAAATGGAGATTCGAGTGGCGAACGCAACGACGATGTACGCCCGGTCGCTTCCATTTGACTAAATTGCACCGATCTCGTTTTTTTTTTTTCTTCGTTCGAATCGAATTTCGAGATCCGGGAACGTAATTTTGTGTAACGAACGGGAACTCGATTCTCCAGTGATCGATTTTAAGGGGGGGGATCGTTTAGAAAAAGATGACCGACGTTCGGTCGGTTTTCTTAAAGGACCGTTCGAGGATCGTCATTGGAGTCTAATGGAGACTTAGTAAAATTTTTGATTAGAGAAACTGAGAGTAGGTGTGTGTACGCGAAGGTAACGCAACGTTTTGTTTTTTGAGACTCCAATGGGTGACGAATTACATATGTACTACACTTATATCGATGTATAAAACACGTACCGTACATTTAATGAGAGAGTCTTTGGCGTAGGACGTAGAAGTTGATAAAGATTCGTGCATGTGACTGTTGTGCCGTACGATGTGTCGGTATGAGTCCCGATCGTTTCGATTTTTGTTGAAAGATCGATCGGGCGTGCCGATCCCCCGCCCCTTTTTCACTCATCGATGATCTGTTGACGATTACAGCACGCCGTCTGGAGATCATCAAGATGACCGAGCAACTGATCGAGAGCGTCAACACTGGTGATTTCGAGGCGTACACGTAAGTGACGCTCCATGCGAATTACAATGATAGAATTTTAATAAAATGGAGAATCGTCGAGATGCTAAAAGTGAAAGTACATAAAAATAAGAAAGTACTGTTTCATATTAATGACAAATTTCCATTTATTCATTCAATTTATAGCACAAAAATTTTGACGATGTCTTACAATTTTTTATGTATTAATCATAGACACTGATTTTGTTATGAATCATGCGTTATGAATATGAAGCAGTTATTATTTATATAATGAAAATTCGGTCGGTCAGTGCGATTATTGATCGTAGCAGAAGAGGACTGTCCCTTCGAAGATGAATCATTGGTTAATCTCTGTTACGCTTGCAGGAAAATCTGTGATCCTCATCTCACTGCGTTCGAGCCAGAGGCTCTAGGTAATTTAGTCGAAGGAATGGATTTCCACAAATTTTACTTTGATAATGGTAATTATGACTCATTTGCATCACTGTTTTAATCGTAACCGCGCGGAAAACTAGCCGCACCACCCAGTTGTATCTTCGTTGTCAGTTGAGTTCCGTTCTTATTCCATTGACATGCTATCTTTCTTTCTAATTTTCCTCCGCGTTCCCCGCCTAAGCCATAGACGAGATTCTTGGGTCACAAATTCGGTTCGGATACCGAAACGAAAAATTAAGGCTGATTCTTTGATCAATTAAAGGACTACTACTTAATTAAGTACTATTGGAGAACAAGAAGGATGGGGTTGTGTTTTCTATTCCCTTAGGAATGAACCGAGTTTCATTTCTTCTGTTCTTTCGATTTCTACTCCAGCGAAATTGAATCACACGTTTTCCTTTATTCGCTGTTACACTCATTAGCGGATATATTAAATTATTGAAAGATCGACGTACAATTTAAGATATGGAGATTCCAAGCTAGATCATAGTTCTCCGCTTGGTACCATTTCCAAAAATTGAACTTTGAACCGTATCCAACCATCTTGCAATGTATCGTTACACCCTTCATCGATATGGCTTCTTATCGCACTTTTAACTAATCACGTCTCTTCCCAACGTTAATGCAAATTATCAACCCCGAATGCACTTTTTATCATTCCACAAGTTTTCAAGAGAAATTAAGGATGTATAGGCTATATACTTGAACAATGCTAGCATGTTGAATTCGTTATTATAGATTCCTATTACTATT